AGAAATAAGGAGGAATGACATACTTATATAAACATAAATCAATGGTGTGAACTAGTTTATGTTAATAAATGTAAATCTTTGATCCTTCACTACAACCTACAAAGTTTGCTCTACCATTGTTATATATACCATGTCCTCTAGTGGAACCCTTGTTAGTAAAGTTAGCAACATTTTTACTGTAATACCCCGTATTGTTCTAAAGTGCTCTAAATATATTAGTTGAGATCAGATGAGTTCCAATATGCTCTGAGAATTACCAGTAGGGATACTTAGAGTAACTAGTGAGCTCATATTGATTTAATTAGTATTATTCGACTCTGACCTTTTACTAATTTGTACAATTGAGACATTTTGGTAATACTAATATTGGACATGTTACCAATTAATACTCTTTTCTACCATGCAAAGCATCTTTTGGTCTTAATAGATTTTTGGATATCTCTATGAATCATTTCATTTCATTTTCCATTCTTTCCAACTAAGTGGGAGACTTGAAGAAAGATAGTAAGAGAATTGAATAGAGACAAAGAGGAGAAAAAGAAAAGAAGAGAAGGAAAACCTAGAAGGAGAAACTCATCATTCTTCATCAACATCATCTCATCTTCATCAATCACAACTTCTTCATCTTCATCTTGAGGTGGGTTATAGATAGATGCTCTAGGTTATGATTGTTAGATAGATTGATGACTATTGGGATTTTGATATTTATTGATTCCATTACCACAAAAATATTGTGATTCTTGTTGTGTTCATGTTGTTCATGATAAAATTGTTGTTATATGTTGATTTTGAGTTGTGGTTGAACTTGTGTAGGGAATGAGGTTTGGAAACCCCTTGTTACTGTCTGATTTTGAAAATTAGTATATAGAAATCAACGCACTCGCACGGCGAGCTTCCAGCGAACTAAAAGCGATTGAGTTTCTGCTACGCTCATTGTGCAAGGTCTAGCGAATGGAAAGAGACACATCACCTTGTGTTCGCACAACGACCATGGTGACATTTTTCTACTGCATATCCCTCGCCTTGAGTTCGTAGTGCAAGCTGAAAGTGAGCTAGCTCGCCTTCCGGTCGCTAGGCGACGCTGACAGGACTTTGACAATTTCTCTTATTCTTTATTTGGTTGCTTTGTATACTTATTTAGTTATAGCCTAAATCACTTTATATGGATTATTGTGGTTCTTATGCATACTTTCTATCAATGATTAATTAATTATGAATGTGTGATAACATGATTAAAAATAAGTAAGAATGGTAAGGAAACCTTAATGGAAATTAATGATATGACTTAGTGAGATGACTAAGAATTAATAGATGACTTAGATGACAATGCTTGTGCAGTTGATGCCTAGGTGAATATCTTTGACAAGTAGTTATCTAGTGGTAAGGTGGGGCATTATGTGGAACATGTATGGTATTTTTTGTTGGTTGTGATTAAGGTGAATGTGTTTGCGTTGTGATTGTTGAATACAGTCACGCCTTGTGTATTTGATTACGTAATCAGAAACAACCCTTGAAATGTGTCATCCCAAGAGTCGATGCTTAAGTAAAGCTTCTTTGGGATATATGCACTATTACTTTGACAAGTTTGAGTCCTGTGTGTACGAATGGAGCCTACGGGTAAAAGGCTTGAGATATGGGTGATCTCATGAGAAGCGATGATTCATGTGGAAAGTACCTTAAATCCGAATCCATTTTGTATGTCAAAGTAGATACAAGGATCTGTGACCCATGTCGATAACTCTAGACGTAGGGTTGGCCGGGGAAAGATGCATTGGTATGGTTTCCAATTAGTGATAGTTTGAGTTGTTGAACTCAAGCGACATGTTGCCATATAGTGCAAGTATTGTGTATTCAAGTCTCCTCCCTTTTTCCCCTTTGGAACTTGAAATACTAGATGGTTAGAACCTTGTAAAGCCTAGAGAACCCATAAGATATGGAACCCTCTTGGATTATTATCTCACCTCATGATTTTGATTACTTTTCAGGTAGTTCCGATATGACGAAGGGTAAGGATAAGGTAGCTCAATTGTCCTTACTTATCTCACTTTTTGGATGGTTTTTCTGTTGAAAAAAAATTTTTTTTGAGATCATTCTTTAATGATCAAGTTCTTAGTTTTATTTTTGAACATCTTGTATAAATTATGCCACTTTTAGTTGTTTTTTTTGCATGTACTATGTACAATGTGTTACTAGGAACTTGTATATTTCAGTACCGAATTTGCAACCATGTATGATATGAAAATTTTAGACATATATTGTATGTGGGTGTTACATTTACCTTAATCAATAAGAGTGGAGTTCTATATTTTTTGTTGAGTGATCACAGAAAGCATTTTGCTAGAAGTGAGACAAGGGGGTCATAAGCATGATTTATGAACAAACAAGTGCATTTTTTTATTAAGGCCTTTGAAGAAGAAAATAACATGGTCTCCTTCATGGTAATATTTGATCTTGGGAAAATATCAGAAGAATATTTGATAGGGAAGGAACAAAAAAGAATAGGAAGAATATTTTTGAGTTCTTGCCACAAAATTTTCAAAGTAGTCTAATAATGAGTAATAAGTTGATTACCATGGTGAATGACACTAATTTCTTCTTATATATACAAAATATGAGAACTTTCATATTGATAATAACATTCCTTCAATTCTTGTCAGATTTCTTAAGTAGTATCCATCCACATCATATTTTAAGCAATTTCACCATCAATCTAATTAGTCATTATTATGAAATTGAAAGGTTCAACTATACCAAATTATGTTAAAAGCTCACAATAATATTACTTTTGTTGATAGTAAATATGTATGAGACAAAAACAATGACAACCGATATAAATAGACTTAAGCAACAAAATAACCTACAATCAATATAAGCAAATCCATAACAAGTAAAAGGAAGATAAAAGATAAGAACACAAATAACTTATTTACTCAGTTTGATCAAAGTAATATACTTTGGGGGAGGGAACAACTTTCTAATTCACTATATTTCCAAGAATTTTTACAAGAGATTATAAAAGAGTTACAAGAAAATAGTCACTCAAGTTTTCAGAGGAAAACCATATTTTCTACGCAAGTGTTTCCCAATATCGCAAACTCTCTCTCTCTCTCTCTCTATATATATATATATATATATGAAGAATCACATAGATGTAAGGTGTTTAGAAGTATTTCTCAATCCCCTTAGATACATCCCAAGATTTCTCAAAATTTAAAAACTCAAGGAATTTCTACCATTTTCCTTCTAATTACGATTATTGTGTTCTTTCTTTAAATCTTAACCATAAAAGTGATTTATATACATATTTATAACTACTGAAACTCAACAGATCTATAACGTTTCCAAACCATGACTCATCAACAAGTGAATACGCGAATCAAATTGTTCTGACACGATATTCTTGAAATTCGCAGACCAGACCCGTTTCCCGAAGGCCGCCACCTACCAAACCATACCATCGCTTCGTACACCCGAATGACATCGCCATCATCTATGCTTCTATTGACCAACCATCGTTAGTTGTTGGATCTCCGCCACGGTACCTCCTCCGATTCGGCTTAATTGAACACCAAACCGCCATTTTATGGCTCCTATGTCCTTTGTCAGCTTTCTAATTGCTTTTCCGACGTTCTAATTTATGATTGCCCTGAAACTTATTTTCCTTCTCTTTATCACTTGAGATTTTAAGGCATATTTCTACGGTCATTCAAACCATTATCATTGGGTTATATTTTGTTCAGTGTCGGCCAAAGACCCAGAACCTATCGCTCTGTATCAACCAAGATTCGGGACCCCCAGGTCGTGTAGACCAAAGATTTGAGTTCCACTACTCCTCATTGATCAAAGGTCCAATGACATGAGGTTCATTACTTACCCTACTCCGCCAAACTCAAGGTATAAATACCTTCATATATGGTTCTAAGGTACACACTCATAATTTTTAATCTCCACTTTCAGTATCACTTATCTTGAACTCTAACTGACTTGGCGTTGGAGTGCTAGCCATTCATGTACCCATTAGGTCCATCGTATCCCAGATAGCAACACCGGTTATGAGCGTCATATCAGCACCAATACTTATGGTTCAAGAAGTACCGTAATCGCAACCTTTAATCCACGGTACTGCATCCGCAAAAAGCATTGGAAGCTCCGTTCCTCCGTACTTTCTACAATCATCAACATTTCTAATTCCGCAACAAAACACATTTGTTCCAAATAATTGATAAACAATTGAAATCTTACGAACAAGTTTGGGTTACGTAGAACAAATTAGGATTACGTCGAGAAACCCTAATTTATTCTTCAATCTCATATTTACAAGCATCAATATTGACAAATAATATTAGTTTGTATTTTTGAAGGCAAGTGGACAATTGCAAAACCAGAGTTGTCATTGAGATGTTTAAAAAAGGAATAAAACATACCTTCGACTTGATGACTATGAGTTGAAAAATTCCTATATAAATCTTAATCTATACTACGAGTTGAAAACTTGTTAATTTAATAAAGACTTATATTTTAAAAAAGTCAATTAAATGAAGGTAATCCCAAACATAAAATAATTTTAAAAGTGTGATTTTAGTGCTATGGAACACTACCACGTGGCAGTCATATCGTAGGACCCATAGCCCACGGCCTCGGTTATGGATATATCGGTTGGCTCTCTGTCCCACACTCACTAATACCTCCGCCCACTCCTTTTCACATTCCGCCATTCTCCTCCACCCTTATTATTTTTCTCTAAACTCTTTTTAGTTACAACAAACCTTTTTAATTAAAATTATTTCATATTATTATCATTATTTCCCATTAATTAATTATTACTATATATATGTTCTTCAACAGCCTCTTCTCTCACATCACTCTTTTCTTCCCTGTGCGAGCGTAGCGCATGTTATCAACATTACCCACCACTGCGCAATTTAGCACAACAGAAAATAGTACACACCGAGAACATTAAAGTACCTATTCCTATTAACAATAACAAAGACAACAACAACATGTTACACTGTCTCAACACTTCGGGTAATCTAGGAGGAGAAGAAACATTAACAACCATTTCCGACATGACAGTGTTACAAAGACAAAAAGCAAGAATCAACTTTCAACAATTTTCTTCTTCTCCACAGTTCACGATGGTTGCTTGTGATTCCGCTCTTGGCGAAGTCGTTGCTAACTCTATCAAACCCGACCCGGGGTTTGGAAAAGATACCATTAAGAAAAGAAAAGCTGAAATTAACAATAATAATTCTAAGGTGTGTGAGATTGATTTTGAAGAATTTGTTTGTTAAGGTAATGTTTGGTTGGTTGGTTTTAAGGTTTGTTGTTTTGTTTATTAGGTTGATGTTGTTGTTGTTCCGGAGTGTGACAAGAGGATCAAAATAAGTGCAGAAGAAGAGGAATCCAAAACCAGTGACCAAATTTCAAAGGGACACAAGAATAAAAAGTCCAACAATGGAACAAAGAACAACAGAGAAAATTCTGGTGATACTAATTCTAAGGAGAAGCTTGATTACATTCATGTTCGAGCACGTCGCGGTCAAGCCACTGATAGTCATAGCTTAGCAGAAAGAGTAAGTACAACAAAATCAATTAGACATTTTTTTTTTCTGTTTAGTTTCGTCGAGTTTCGATGCTGATGTTGTGTTCGTTTTTTGCAGGTTAGAAGGGAAAAGATAAGCGAGAGGATGAAGTATTTACAAGATTTAGTGCCAGGATGCAACAAAATTGCAGGAAAAGCTGGAATGCTTGATGAAATCATTAACTATGTTCAATCTCTTCAAAGACAAGTTGAGGTTAGAGTTTTAGTCCTGTTCAATTTCTTGCTATTGGAAATTAGTACTCATAAAGAAATTACTTAGGTTGCATGATAGTGTTTGATTAAGTTTTAGTTTATTAACTTTCGATTTTAAGATCGAATAATTTAAGTCCGCCTAATTCATAGTACATTATCACCAAATGCAGTTCTTGTCGATGAAATTAGCAGCGGTAAATCCAAGACTTGACTTCAACATTGATGAATTGTTTGCCAAAGAGGTAATTGCATTGCAATTGGTTTAGATGAAACATCATAGTATTTTGTGTTAGGTCTGTGACAGCAGATTAAGGTTGTATCGGTCACTTATCCGTAATATCAGTGACCGCGATTGTGACCGCAATTTAAAATTTGATTTCATCCTTTTAGTTTATCTTTCATACTAACATGCTCTTATATAATTTGATTTTTACAGGTTTTTCCTCAAAATTTTCCAACCATAGGGATGCAATCAGACATGACTAACCCTACATATCTTCAATTCAATTCAGCACAACAAGTTTCGAGTTGTGGCGGATTAATAAACAATATGGGGATAATCCCTCCGGAAATCGGGCTTCGGAGGAACATTAATATCCCCGCAGCTTCATCTTTACCCGAAATCTTTGACTCGTCGTGTTTCACCGTATGTTTCCCCTCTGTAACTAAAACATTGTTCATGTTCGTTACTGATTATTACTCTTCTTTAATGAATCTTAATTTATGTCTGCTGCAGCATATCTTACCCTCTTCATCTTGGGAAGGTGATTTTCAAAACCTTCACAGTATGGATTTTGATCAAGGAAGATCAATGTCCTTTCCTTCTCAGCCATTCACAGGTATCTACCAATTTATGACTTGTCAAATCACTTTTTTCCTTAAGCAGCTATCATAGAAGTAGAAATTAGATTCAAGACAAATTGAATTTTCGTAGATGATAGAGACATGAGAGCCCCACATATATTGACAAGTCCTTTTTCACCAAAATTAAGATTCTTTACTCACACGAATTGTTTTAAACTACGGTTGCGGTCACAGTTGTTACATTTCAAACCTTTACTGCGGCCGATACTAGAGCAATTCCTAATGTTTGTTTTATGACTGCAGGTATGATTCAAGCTAGCAATTTGAAGATGGAGATGTAAACAAGATGTTCTGGTATTATTTGTTGAATGAGCTCATTCAAGATGCTTCTTCTCAACATTTTCTTCTTTTAAAGTACATAACATATTTTTGTTGTATACTGTTCTCTATTAATAAATAAGATCATTTTACTACTTTGTTTCACTCACTTTTTTTTCTACAATTAAGTAACAAAATAGCCTCTTGAAATGAAAAGGTTAATTGAAAAAGAATGATTTTCACAATTTTTTTTTGAAAAGCCAAAATGAATTCAATAATAGAGCACAAGCTGTGCTAAAAAGCACAAGTACCCTCCCACTTAGTAAATCGCAAAAGCAATGTTGTGCCCCTATCAACAATGAAACAGCCTCTAACACAAGTAGAGAAATCACTACTGTAAGAACCAATAACCATTCAGACTGCCATGCTGCGCCCCTAACAACGATGAAACAGCCATAAGAAAAGCAGTGCAGTCACTACCTCAAGAACAAAAAATAATGCAGACTGCCACTTCAATAACAACAAAAATTCAATCAGAAAATATTTGAATAATTAAAATAAAAGTTTTTTAAGGTGGTTACATATAGATTAAAAAGAATTGAATAATTAAATATAACAATTTTATAAAATTGTTCTTAATTATTATTAGTTGTCATAAAAATATAGTGTCATAATATTTTGAAAGTTGTTTAGACAATATTTAATAAGGGTAAAATTGATAAAAATTAATTATTGTTGCTTTAAAAACGTAAAAAAACTCTTATTTTAGAACAAATTTTTTTTGGATAGAAAGACTATTATTTTAAGGGTACCAAAAGTCGATATTAACTGCAATATTGTTAACTTTTTTTTTACAATGGTGCATTATTGTTAATTTAAAGAGACGGTTGTTCCACTGACTTATTTGAATTTATTTATCATTTAAATATTTGTAATTCTCTTTACAAAGTTTTTTAAAAATAATTTATAATATATTATTTTAAATTTATATTTATAATCATTTATTTGTTAGTCTGAGAATTTTAACTTAGCATTTCGACATGAAAGGATGATATAGAAGTATGAAAATGTTGAATGTAAGACAATCAAGATATAAGTTTTGACATATTGATCATTTTAACAGAGGTGATGAATTTGACCCACCTATCAAGAGCGGTGAGTTCAATTTGTCTATCAAGTGTTTTAGGACTTAGCATATTCTTAAATCCAAGAATTGGATGACTTGGAAGCATTTTCGACACCAGACCATAAAACTTAACAGAAGAATTCTTCGACAGATGCAATTAGAGAATTTGAAAACAGTTTCGACAATAGTAGCAATTTAAGACAGTTCAAGAATCAAAGACACATGGAAACACATCAGAAGGCAGAAGTCCACGTAGCAAGATATACGTGTCGAATTTTGGAGAAGTGATCGTTGTCGACACTTATGAATGTACATAGTATATATGTAGATTTGGTCTCTAGGACAAGAGTTCGCATTTTCATTCTATTGTCTTTAGAATTCATATTTTCAAGTCACGGAGATCGAGAATTTGTGAGAAATGTATGAACATGTGTCCCACCTTTAATTCAAAAACTTTTTATCCAACTATATTGTTGTTTTCTTCATTTACTTTATTCTTTTTAAGCAATTCTGCATTTTATTTCTTTACGTTCTTATCCGGTCTCTATAAATTCAATGATAGAACTTTTAGGCACAAACACATTTCTCAAATATCTTGCACAAAATATCCTTATTTACTAAAAGCTTGTGGTTTATTTACTAAAAACACTAATTAACAAACCGACACGCCCAACGAGACTCTTTTTTGAAATTTAAACTTTTTTAAAGAGTATATTATGCTTTTGTATTTGTTTGTGTTCTTCACATCTAAATGTTGTCATATGTTTAGTGTTTATGCGCCTGAGGAGTGATAAATTCATTAGTATGACTAGACCATCAGAAAATTCATCCTCTTAGGGAGTTCCTCCTCCCTAGAATAATACTCAAAATGTAGAAGAACAGCGAATCGAAACGATGGTTGGTTGTACAGACACTTCAACAATTGTTGGAGTAACAGCTCCTATTGTTGTGAGTCTGACATTTGGTTCGACTGCAACACCAGAAATGGTAATACCACCACCAATTAATTTTCCTGTTAATCATGTGATTACCCAAACCACTATAAGAGATTCTAGGCTTTCTTTCTGCTAAGCTCTACACTTCCCTTAGAGGTAGGGAGTGTCCATATGGCATGTCAATGAAGGTAAATAGAAACACAAGAAAGGGGAGTTTGAATTGGGTTTCTCAAAATCAAATTTTTTTTCACACATCAATTCAAGGACAAAAACAAAAATAATAAAAATAACAAGTTATTTTTATCTTGGTTCGCTGTTAACAACACTACCTCCAGTCCACCCGCCAAGGTGATTTCACCTTCTCAAAAGAACTTAATCCATTATAATCAACCAGATTAAATACACTACAAAGACCATTGTCCTTGTCTTCTCGAGTATACAGACTAAACTCTAGTCACTCAAGGTAATCACTCAAACAAATTTGAGGTTTACAAAATGTGTTTTATAAGATTTCTTCTACAAAGCAGATTAACACAAAGTTTAATTACAATGACTCAATCACATAGACGAACAGTTGTTCTAAGTGTGTTTACAATATTCACAGTAGTATCAAAGAAAATAAAGCAGCTTAACAACGTTGAATAGAGTGGGAATATTGAGCAAAGTGGCAGCTAATCCATTCTTCCAAGTCTTCCTTTTATATTCAAAGAAAGATCCGTTAGAGGATAGAATGAGAATCTTCATGCGTGAGCTGACACCTTGAATAATCGCCTTCAATGATAAAAGACAAAGATCGTACAACATAAATGTCCTTGCTCCACGAAATCTGCGTAGTGGAAGGAATGCTTTGATTTGATATAATGTATTATTTATCTTACATAACGATTTGCTCTTATCCTCTTCTATTTATCAGAGGCTTCTGAATGTAAGGTTCTTGAAGCATGCATAGAAGAGTCAAGGGCATGTTGAGAGTCTTCAGAACTACAGACTTCAGAGTCTTGACATTGTTCCTCAAAACCTGGTCTTTAGAATCTTCAGCACTTCGTTCTTCAGAATCTTCAGCATGAGCTAGAGCTCCAAAGATAGTCATTTCTTCAGATTCTCTTCATTCAGAGTCAGAGTCAGAGGCTTGAGCGCAGACATTCTTTAGAACTGTTGTCTGCAAGCTTTCTCTAACTTGACCGCTTCTTATGAATATTATATCTCTTTAGAGTCAGAGTGTGTTGATTCCAGAATTTCATGAGGTCATATGTCATGGCTTCTGAGTCAGAACCTGTTTGTCACAAACTACACACTAGACAAAGTTATTAGTGTACAAAGTTATTAGTGTACAAAGTTGTTTCATATTAATCCATGTATTGTTATCATCAAAACTTAAAGGTCAGATGCAGAACCAAAACTTGTTCTCACAATCTTTCCCCTTTTTATGATGACAAAACCATGTATTTTAATGAATAATTTTACATGATTTAAATCACATAAAAAGTTTCAGAGTGAGGTTCATAAGCTACCCCTGAATTTTATATTGTTAAACATTATTTTTCATATTAGAATATCAAATTTAGGTTTGCAAGCTTCCCCTAATTTCATAACTTAAAATAATCTTAACACATGTAAATTATGTAACTCAGAACGAAAAAAATGACTTCCCTTGTGGCAAAAGCCAGGTTGTTATAACTTTCTCTTCAGACAGAAGTCTGTTCACTATCTTCCATTACGGCAGCGTCCTGGTTGTAGTGATTACGATAGGTCTCAGATTGCAACGACTTGATATTGGAAGTATTCTTTCAGAATTCATGTTTGATTAAAAAAACATCCATACTTAGAGTTGACTTCTTCAAAGCTACTCTTTTGAGTAGTATCAGAACAAGGTTATGGATTTCAGAGTATTTGTTCAGAGTCTAGATTTCATAATCTAGCAAAATCTTGTTTAGAATGTATGTTAGCCTAGTTTCTAAAATTATGATTTAACCTGAAATACTTGGTCAAAATGATGAACTAGTTCAAAGTTTAAAGAGTTTACCAAGTTGAACTGTTAGAAACATGTTTGGATTATCATGCTGGGAAATTAGATATATCAAAATCATATTCTATTTATCCCCCTTTCTCATCATTCAAAAAGAAATACTAAAGACAAAGAATATATAGGCCAAAGAAAAACTAATTTGATTAATCATAAAGGGGAGTATAATAGAAAGGAAAACATAAGAACAAAATAAATATAACACAAGTTTCAAACAAAAACTAAGGTTTAGTGAGTTTTTCAGGGAGTCTAGACAGAATCTCTGCAAGCAACCCTTCAATCTTTGATGTCCTTTCCTTCACTTCATACTTCTCCATAACCAACAACTCCAACTTCTTTAGAACAAAGTCATCCGCTTCTGAAGTCTTCTTGGTACCAGAACCACTTCCATCTTCAAGAGCATTCTCAACATGGACAGTGAAGTCTGAACAGGAGGAGAAGGAATCACTTCTGGTGCAGGGAGCAGAAGATTAGCAGGAACCTTTTGAAGTATAGATTCAACAACACCAGAGATTCTGGAACGGATGTTCCTCTTGGCTTCCTTCAGATAGGAAATCTCTAACTCTTCATAACTGGCAACTATCCACTTTCTGAAGGCCTCGATCAGAGCACATACTTCAGAGAAGTTTGCATTGCCTATGCAAGCTTCAGTGAGAGCATGTAATCTTCTTTTAGGATCCCCTTCAAATTGAGAAAATAAATCATCTAAAGGTGTAGAACAAATGTTTGTTTTAGAAGATGTTTAGTTGACAAACGGTTGAGAGGGTATGTCAGGGTAGACAATAAGTTCAGTTTCTGTCTCATCATACGAATAAAGGTTGGTTGAGAAATGTGGTTTTCAGAAAAAAGATGTATTTGATGGTGGTGGAAATGGTAAAAATTTAGCAACATATAAAGGTAAGAATATAAGAATAGATAGGTTAGAGACAAAGTTATTAT